AAACTCCATGTATCAAGTAATACGTGAGAATCTGTACAGAATTTACTTCATGGTCACAACCTATTTTCCTACCATTATTTCGTTTCAATTCAGTTGACTCATTATTTTTTTTAGCTTATTTTACATTCATCTCTACCATTGTAGAGCACTTTAAACCTGTTTTTAAAAGGAGGTGTGTTATACATAAACACTAATTGCTTCTTTAACTCTGCTAAAGCCAGCTATTAGCATTGCCTTTTAATAGACAAGGACACTCACAGCTAGAACTCTTTCTTCAATAACTGAACAAAGCTCAAATAACAAACATTGGAGGAGCAAAGACTCACGATAAGGACTGATTACAAATCCCATAATATTTTGTTTTCGTGGCACAATGCTATCTTGTTTATATTTTTTCCATAGACTCATCCTTTGGACTCAATTGAATTTTAGCCTGCAGAGCTAGGATTGTGTCTGCTTCTATTGGGAATAGTGTCCCTTGCTTATGATGGCATAGGAATAGTCAACCTAAAAGGAAAACGGGGCTTTTATTTTAGCTTTCCAGAAACCCTGTAAGAGGGAACAGGGGTATAAAAATCTCATACTGAAAGCGTTCATTTTCTATCACTTATCTTAAACTACACTGAAACCATTCAATGCTTTTGAAGGTTCAGAAAATACATTACAGAAAATAAATAATCTCAATGATTACTTTAATGCACAGCCTTAGCTTCCTGGCATTTCCCTCATCTCCTCAGGGGAAGGCTATTTCTCCAACTTATTTCTTTTCAATTGATTGTTGGGATTTCAATCTCTTTAGACCTTTTGTATTAGAGAAAGGAATAGGTCTGCTACTGTTTCTCAATTTGGAATCTGAAGTTTATCACACTCTTTTCCCATTTACCTACATATAGAATTGAATTTCAAAAAAACAAATTGTCTTTTAGGGCATAAAGTTCAAAAGCAAAGTATTGCATCAGTATCATAGCCTCAAAGTTAGAAAAGGAGAGGTTGAATTTGTTATCTCTACTTACTTTTAAGAGGCTTTGCAAAAAAAATGGGTCATGATAAATAAAATTCTGAAAAAACTGACAAAAGCCTATGTTGTATTTTCTGAACAGAAGTGAGTTCATCTTCTATGATTTTTGTTTATCGCCATCATGAAGACATAGTGTGGCATGACCAGTCTGCTGAGGTTTCAATTATTTTATAATCCAGAAAGTTTTTGACAAATGTGCACTTTCAATCAGAATTACAATTCAGAGAGGACAACTAATATTTCATTAGGCTCTGTGGCTAAATAACCCACCACCAAAACAAAATTTCAAGTTCCTCCACTTTCCATCAGAGCAGAAGATTCTGATATCTCTTTTTTGTTTGTTTGCTTTGGTACCAGGGATTGAACCCAAGAGCGCTTAACCACTGAGCCACATCCCCAGCCCTATTTTGTATTTTATTTAGAGTCAGGGTCTTGCTGACTTGCTTAGGGCCTTGCTAAATTGCTGAGGCTGTCTTTGAACTTGCAATCCTGCCTCAGCCTCCTGAGCCTCTGAAATTAGAGGCATGCCCCACCAACTCCAGCTAGGTTGTACTATCTCTAAAGCTCAATTTCCATCAAGAAGTTCTGATTGTAAAACAGAAGTAAGCCTTTATTTCAGAGTTATAAATATGAACACATTTAGAGGAAAACCATTAACTAGAAGGTTCTAAACCACCACACATGGATTGAGTGCACACAGAGCACCACCACCCCCAAGATCAGTAAAGGATTTCTTAGGGTTGGAAAAGATCTTATAAATGATTTTATAGAACAAGAATAGATTGTCTCACAACATTTAGATTTCTTTCTCCATTTTTTTCTTAATTGGGAGGCAGTAGGTATGGTAGAGAGTTCTGGACAGATTGAGGTTTTAGATTTATCTTTATTAGCTGTAATCTCAGGCATGTTACTTCAAAAACCATAAACAGGCCGTTTTTATGGCATAGTTGGACTAGAAAACCTTCTGCGCCAATGTTACATGAATCAGTTATGCCCATATTAAACCTGTTTAGAGTATGAGTAGGAAAATCACATTGTTAAAATCTTAGATCAACCTTAGCTTTGTTTACTTCAATGTTGCAGTGACTCTCCTCTGGTGGGAACTCCTTACCAAAGCTCCTTCACTTTTCAAACTCATTGTTCTCTCCCCACATGTAGCAACAGAAGCAATGCTGGTGGGTGTGTGTGGGGTGGGGGGTGAAAACCTTTATACCAAAGGAAGGGGAACCTAAATCAAAAGCTGCTGTCACTTATAACAAATTAGAACAAATTAATTAATTAATTAATTTTTTAGAAAAGCATCTCCTTAATTCAAAATTTTTGAAGGTTTCTGTGTATGGGTTTCCTTAGGTCAGTGTTCCTCTGTGGATTCTTTACTTTGATTAAAAAAAAAAAATCTCATAAGCCCTCTCATAGCTCAGAGTAAGGTAGAATTTTATTTATAGAAGATTTCATAACTGCTTCCCCGTAGCAAAAGATTATTGACAATTTGAATTCAGAAAAATAATGAATCGAGTAGTAACTAATATTTACACACTCCCTACGATGTGCCAAGTAGTGTTCTATCTACTTTGCATATAGGAATGCAGTTGATTCTCAGAGAACTCTGAAGTGGTAACTTGTGTCCCTTAATATCCAACTCCCATTCAGTTCATGAGTTCAGTGGTTAGAGGTCAGACAGAATTCAGAGAGTGAAGTTGGATGGCCAGAAAAACTGCAGTATCTCCATCTACTTTAGTTCTCCTACTTGGGATGGTGAAAGACCTGAGGTTAAATGACAAGTAATGTCATTTTAAAATGCAAATGTAAGTCCATTGGGTTCCCCTGCTGCAAACAGAAGAGCTGAAAGGAGGGATAATTCACATTAAGTTATCTATCTATACAATTATCTCCATTTTACAGAAGAAGAAATAGCACAGATGGGTTAGGGAAGCTGCCCAAGATTTCAGAATTCTGTCAGAACCAGAAATCTTATGCAAGCACTATGGCCCCAGAGTCAATAAAATGCTGTGCTGTGTCATCAGTGCATTTCCTCCTGTAGACTTTCTTTTTTAAAAAATTTCCTATAGACTTTCTGAGAAAGTCTTTGAGAAGGTTAGCCAGAGGACTTATTCTATTTTTCCCAGAGTTTAATTTGTCATCAAACTCTGATTATATAATCCACTCTGACCAATATAAGCACATTTTAGATAACGAAACTTGCTTTTTATACCAGTTAACAGTCTAATGACATGACTTATGAAACCATGCTATTCCATTTAGAAACTGTCTTTAATGAATTCCACCACAAGTGGGCAGAAACAAGGGATCTGCTTTATAGAAAAAGCTATCTCCCACTGCAAAATAATCCAGACTGAAATGTTGAAATCTTGCTCCTCCTGTGATTCTCTTTCAATCTCAGGACCCCATCAAACCATTGCTTGTTCTCAATTAATCATGTTTATAAGAATTGGTTCCCACAATTGGTTAGGTTAACACCTATATTTGGCCTCCCAATATTTTCTATGGTATGTAGAGCTTGATGCCAGCAATGATTTTCCTTAAGACCAGAGTCGGGGCCCTCACAAAATCATGCAACAGCACAGGTACTCTGTATCTTCATAACTTGCTCTGACAAATGTTGGCTAACTGCTGTCCAGTCAACCACACAAAAAGGTCATGCTTACATGATACACTAAGTCTTGTCTGTTAAGCTGATATGTAGTATCTTTTTTTTAATATTTATTTTTTAGTTGTAGATGGACACAATATCTTTATTTTATTTTATGTGGTGCTGAAGATCGAACCCAGGGCCTCACACGTGCTGGGTGAGAGCTCTACTGATGAGCCACAACCCCAGCCCTATATGTAGTATCTTTATAAATTTTAGTGAAAAATAAGTTCATGCTTCAACTTCAAAATCTGTTTAAACTTTTACATAGCAAAAGCTTAACATAGAACCAAAATTACATTCATTCAATATTAATAGTAACAAAGAAAACTATCTTATTTATACAAATATGGAATATATCATATTCTAATTAGGATCCCAATCTTGTAGTTGTACATGGGAAAGTTAAGTCAGATTCATTCCACCATCTTTCCTATTCCTGTACCTCACTCCCTTCCCTTCATTCCCCTTTGTATAATCTATTGAACTTCTATTTTCCCCTCCCACACTCCTTGTGTGTTAGCATCCTTATATCAGAGAGAACATTTGATCTTTGTTTTTTTTGGGATTGGCTTATTTCATGATATTAGCATGATAGTATCCAGATCTACCCATTTTCCAGCAAATGTCATAAAAGCATTCTTTTTTCCATTGTATGTATATGCCACATTTTCGTTATCCATTCATCTGTTTAAGGGCACCTAGGTTAGTTCCACAGCTTATCTTTTATGAATTGAGCTGCTATAAACAGTGATGTGGCTGTATCTCTATGGTATGTTGTTTTTAAGTTCTTTGGGTATAAACCAAGGAGTGGGATAGCTGGGTCAAATGGTGGTTCCATTCCAAGTTTTTCTGAAGAATTTGCATACTGCTTTCCAGAGTGGTTGCACCACTTTGTAGTCCCTGCAGCAATATATGAGTGTACACTTTTCCTTCTCTATGCTAAATAAGCACCTACTGGATCATGTGAGCTATCACATTATTTCCAATAACTGTTGAATGATTACTTAGCATAGAGGTTTCATGCCATTTTAATATATCCCTTGGAGGCCTCAAAGAGCCATCCACATCTGAACTTCCAGTATTACACTCATTCAGCTGGGCTCAATGGCACATGCCTGTAATCCCAGTGGCTCTGAGGGGAAAGAGGGGAAAATGAGACAAAAGGATTGTGAGCTCAAAGCCAGCCTCAGCCAAAATGAGGCGCTAAACAATTTAGGGAGACCTGTCTCTAAATAAAATACAAAATAGGGATATAGATATGGCTCGGTAGTTGAGTGTCCTTGAGTTCAATCCCTAGTACCAAAACAAAACAAACAAAACAAAACAAAATTATACTCATTCAGGTATTAGTATTCACCAGTTAAGTTTAACCAAATGCAAAATACATACATAAGAAATAGTTTAAACAATATACAAATTATTTCAAAACTCCTTTTTTTTCAATAATGGTCTCTGGCTTATCAAATATTCAGGGATGATCTTTGGGTTCATGAGGCATTAACTGAGTATATCCCTTGTCATAAAGGTTCAAATATTTTTTTCCTAATTGAAATACTCTCAAATTGTTTCCTTCCAGAAGATGTACTTCTGTAGAAGATAAAAGTGAATCTAACTGAAGGAATCAATGGCAAAAATTCTCTTAAACACACACAGACATTCTATAAAACACATCATGTGAACAGTTACAAAAAATTGTAAACAATTTTAATAATCATTGCCATATTTTCTTGTGATTTGTACAATTTAATAACTGATATACTTTCACATCAATTTTTAAAAATATAACATTTGCTTGAATCAGAAATCATGAACAAAACCCATTTCCTGACAGCTTAACCTTCACTAACAAAAATGTTATTTAACTGAGTACTTAGAAAAAAAGCAGGTCAGGGATTGGCAGAAAGATATATAAAAATTAAGGGTGGTTTTGATTTTAAAGGCAAAACTCTTCACAGAAATTTTTTGGGACTTATAAGTTTCTGCAATTGCTATTGTAAAAGTCTCAAGTATGTGAATCACTCAACTCCTTTTACCACTGGTAGGGACCCGTTTGAAACAGTGGGAGGTACACTCTACCATTTAGGAATTGGTGTGGCTGCCATTGCTATGCTTTCAATCGCACACTCGTCAGTTCCTCTGCGGATCCTGAAGTAGCCACTCTCACCCCAGTTGGTGCCCCAGCTATTTTTCACAATCCAGTAATCTATCCCAGTGGCCAAGTCAGTGCCATAGCCCACAAGCAGGACAGCGTGATTTGTCAACTCAAAGGGGTTAAAAGGGTCTCTCAGCCCAGTGTGGTGATAGATTCCACTGTGGTAGTGCAGGAAATCATCATGCACTTCAAAAGCAACAGCCATGGGCCCCCGATGGACCAGCTCAAGCTTCATCAGGGCTTCATTGCAGCCCCCGTAGAAACCTCCCACATAGTAGTACTCAGAAGAGTAGTAACGAAAGCAGTCCTTCTTCACTGTGCAAGGGGAATCGGTGCCTGTGTAGGGGAAACAGGCCTCTTCCACCAGCCCAAAGTCTTGGGCATACTTTCCCGCGATGAGGTAAGGGAAACCACCTTCACAGCCTGAGGATGAATAACATGGATGGCTTATTAGAAAAGGGCACAGTGGATATTATGATTTCATATATGCTTCTTCTCTGCTCTGTTATTCTTCACGTATGTTTCTTCTTTTCTTATCCTTCATTCATGCTCTTAACTTACATGTCACTTCATGCATCCTCCTGTTTGCCTTGTACCTCACTATCCTTTCACCTACCAACTTAATAGATGCTATTTTAGCACCTAACATGGAAGGTGACTATAGCACAGTGGTTAAGTGGGAAGACTCTGAAGCCTGTGTATATAAACATATAAGCCTATGTTTATACCCAGGTAGGTATAAACACAAAGCTATGTGAAGAATTTAATTTCTCTGACCCTCTGGAAAATCTGAATGTTAACAGTACCAAGGATTAAGTTAATTACTTTATGTAAATACAACAAAAGTCAGTGATCACTATCTCTGCTACAGAGCTAGATATACACACCTTGGCTCCTCCACAGGTAAGTATTCCCTGGAAACCTCCTGCCAAGGACTTCTCCCACATTCCTCTGATTACTGGCTATGAAACACACCCACATGCCTATACCTTTTCATCAACATTCTTCTCATCATTATAATTATTTAATTTCTATTTCTCTCACTTAATTGTAAGCTTCATGTGGGTAAAGACTGCCTTTATATATCACAGCCCACAGGGCATGACAGCTACAGTGTTGGTATTTAGTAATTATTTCAGAAAGTATGAAAGGCTCACTGACAAGTAACCATTCACCAGCAGTTCCAGTGGAGAACCAGGAAAACCTTCCAGTGGTCAGTATGGGGCTGACAGAGGAAAACTTTGAAATGGCAACAGTTTTCTCAGAATCAGTTGCAACTGGGCTTCTTATACATTATATGTGGCCTGATCTGGAAGCCTAAGTACTCAATTTAAAAATTCTCCTAGAATGAAACCAGTATTCATAGGTTTTAGTAGGAATTAAGCTTTGGAATGAGACCATGTTTGGAACCCAAACTTCAATGTTCTAAAGCTGTGTGACCCTCACAATATTATAAAACTTCTTTGTGCCTGTCCCCTATCTAGAAATAGGAACTATTCCTGCTTGTTCTCATGGTTTTTGAGCACAGTTAGATTCTGTATATAAGAGGCAGTGCTCACTCAATATATAGTAACTGTTGACATTTTGCTGCACAGTGCAGTAAATTCCATGAGAAACCATCTATTTGTGCAAGGTGAAATTTGTTCTGGGGTTCTGTGATACTCTATTACACCATCCTTTTGCCTTTGTCAGCAATGGCCAACTGCAAATAAGTAAGGAACTCATAAAATAGTGCCTGAAATACAACACTTACCTTGAGCATACTGGCTACAAGATACAACTTCCTGAGGACTCAAGATTGGGGTCTGAGAATTGTTGGTTAATATACGGATTCTTGCTTCTAACATACCCATAGAAGCAAATGAATAGCAGCTTCCACAAGATCCTGGAAATGGAAAATAAATGTGTGTTTAATCCAAGAGACATGTGAAGCATCACAAAGAATCATACAAAAATTGGACTGGATAAGATTCACTAGTATAGTATTTATATTGAATGTTGTTACTGCTCCTAAGTGTCAGTACAATATAGAAGAGTAATCAACAAATACCACATCTGAGATGCATTTGACAGCATTCCTGATAAGGAAGAAAGAATTTATGTCCACAACATTCTAAGCCATCAGGCTGAGAGAGAACTGTGGAGGGATACATGTGAGCAAAGCTTTTAAATATCTCAAATGAAGTGGAATATCTATGCTCCCCTCAAAACTCTTGTTGATGAGATGGGGCTTTTGAAAGTTAATAGGTCATGAAACAGAGTCCTCATGAATGGGAGTTGTGCCCTTTATAAAAGAGACCAACAGAGATAGCTTATCCCTTCCACTACATGAGGTTACAGAAAAGGAAGGCAGTCTAGAGGCAGCAGGTGGACCCTTCCCAGATACCCAATCTGTGGGCACTTACATCCTGGACTTCCCACGCTGGAGAACTGTGAAAAATGATTTTCTATTGTTAATAAACTCAACGATACTTTGTTACAGCAATCTGAATAGACTACAAAAAGCAGCACTTTCCAAAGTATGTTGGATTCTAAGAATGACACCAGTGTGTGTGTGTTGTAGAGAGCTTGATTTAACTTGAGTGGAGGAGAGAGAATACAATAGCCCAAGAAAGAGTGCCTATTCTGCTGCGTAAGGTAAGCACTGAGAAGGTGAAGTATATAACTGCTATTTCAAGAAAAGGGAAAATGTTTTATTACAAGATAACTTATATGAGCAATATTTACTATGTTTCTCCAAACTATGTGAGTAAAAAAAATAAATACCTATAAGAAAATATAGCATATATTCAAAAAATTGGGACTTTTTACTTGTTACATTTTTTTTAAAGAAATGAGCACACGATTTTAATATCACTTCTATCATGTGGCCTCTTTCACATCTGCCACTGACACAAAATCAACATGGTGATATGCTTGGCCCAAATCCAAGATAAATCCAGATCTACACAAGTGGCATGTTATTTCATTTTTTAATATATTAGTTTAACCAAATTATCTAAATGATTTAAATGGTGAGCATTCCCTTATGAATATAAAATGAGATTTATGAACAATTATATAATTCAAATCATCTACATAAAGATAAGTCTCTTCAGTAAATCTGAATTTAGTAATTGCTTCTTTAGGGAGGAACGTATTGAAGAGTATTATACATTCAAATGTTTCCAGGGCCCCCGTTTTTCCTTTCTTGAAGCAATGATTACATCCCTCCTAGAGGCAAGGGAAACCAGGACACCACTCAGCCTCTAATATTCTAACTCTACTGGAGATAGTTACACTGTTTTCCTCAAAGTAAACCATGCATTTTCTTAAGTGGCCATAGGAAATGTTTTCTTTTTCTTGGTTCCAATGAAGGAACTTGATTCATGTTTGTAGAAAGAATGAGTTTAGGATAAACACGGAGAGATATATTTATATCCAAGAAATAAAGTGATATAGGGAAGTAGTCAAACTTTAGTTACTTCTAAGCTACGAGAGAGGTAGAGTCCTGGATTCTAATGTGAACCTCCATGGTACTCCAGGGTCCTGGACCCAGTCCTATTAGCTACTATCATTTCTGATGTTTCCCAAAATTATTCTCCTAAAAAAATCTCAGATTTATTTTTATTATATACTTTACTTACTGTTGATGATCTTTAAATTATGAATGTTAGAAGAGAAACACTTGTAAAGGGGACTTGAAATTCCCCTACTGTACAAATGACTCACTTGATAATGTGTAAATGAGGCCCCAAAGAAGCCAGATAGTACTATCCTTACAACGCCTCTTTCAAATGATATAGAATGTCAAAGTACTAGATGGGTAAAATACAGACAAAGTCAGTGAGACACCAAAGGTTTACAAGAAAAAACACACATCCCAAGA